GTGGCTTTACATATCCCCTCCCAAAGCCTTGCCTCTATGAAGTACACCAGCCTTAGCTGTCAGAAACAGTAAGACTCCGCAGAGCTCGCTTCATGAAAGTCCTGCTTTCCTTCCAGCTGCAACGCTTGGCAGAAGGGTGGCTTTTTGGTCCTTGGACGTATTTTGTTTCTAACCTCAGTTATTGTGTGGAGCTTCATTCTCAAGCTTTGAGCTTCTGTTAAACTTTGGCATTGCTGAAAACAGAAGGGGGGGGGAGAGAAAGCAGCATTTGAGCAGCTGTTTGGGACACTGTAGTGGCTCTTGCTGTGGTGCTAAAGTTTTCAGAGGGGAGAGAGAATAATGTTGTGGCATGATACATAGGATTATATGTTTCTAAGCTCTCTGAACCGTGATTGTGAGAAAACCAGCAAGTTCCTGCAAATGCAGGGATAGAAGTTTCGTGTACAACGAGCAGTCGTTACTCAACGGTGAGCTACGTGCATCCAATGAGGGGCAGACCTCATTTCACCAAAAGAAAAGATTGCAGCGACACATGGACCATGGACCAAGCCGGCTGCGACCCTAGGACAAATGTGTATTTGTTCCACAGTTTGGAAAACAGAAAGCAAAATGAAGAATACTATGATGGTAAGTGATTTTTTAATTATTATTACATTGTGTGAAGGTGTTTTGGGGACAGGTCAAGACTTATGCTCTCCCAGTGCAATTACTTTAGAGCAGCAGCAATAGAATTGGATTTTAATCGGAAAAAATTCCAGTGGCTCCAAAATAATTCCAGCAATGGCACGATGAGTAGAATCCATCTGTCACTGGAGCTAGTAGCAACATTAACTAGATAGCAACTATTGATAACTCTGGTAGTGGAAAATGTGGACAAAACACAGCCCACTGATGGCAACCCAATAGGGTTTTCTTGGAAAGAGACGTTGAGGCAGTTCCATTGCCTGACTCTGCATAGTGACCCTGGACTTTCTTGGTGGTCTCCCATCAAAGTACTAACCAGGGCCAACCCCTGCTTAGCTTCCAAGATCTGATGATATCAGGCTAGCCTGAGCCATGCAGGTCAGGGCATTGATAACTCTAAGACTCTACATTTTGATTTGTAAAAGGAATCCTGAGCTTCTTTTATGGCTCTTATCCAGATGTCAGATCTGTTCATGTAGCATTTTGCTTCTGGCTGTGTTCAGATCTTCAGGACGGTACAGCAATTGCAAAGGATTCAGCCAGGCCTGTCCTTAATTGCTCTCCCCCATCCCCTCCCACCCCGCTTTCCTGTAAAAAAAGAGGAAAAAAGGATCAAGAGGGAGGGAAAGGCTCTAGGTTTTGCAGAAAAAAACATAAATAGTGTAATAATACATTTTCCTGATTAAATACTATGAGTATAATTCTTCCCCTTCTTCTCTGTATCCAAACATAACCTTTATTAGGTCTAATCAAGAGTAACAGGAGTAATTTAAGCTCATATTTATCAATGGGATTTGAAAATCTCAATTTTGTCTGAACTGATACTTTACAAATCTTTGAAAAATCCCAACTTTGAGATTGCTTATTGGTTTACGCATTCATTTATAAAAAAATATTTTTTGCCTTTCTGCTAGGAATGCACCATAAGCACAAAAAAAGCAAAAAAGCCTAAAAACAAATGATTAAATATACAAAAGACTCCATAAAACACAAATATATAATGGTTATATATCAACTAACAATTATTTATATGCTTTTGCCATCAAGTCACAACTAGCTTATGGTGACCACGTACAGTTTTCGAGGTAAGAGACATTCAGAGGTGGTTTGCCATTGCCTGCCCCTGTGTAGCGATCCTGGTATTCCTTGGTGGTCTCCCATCCAAATACTAGCCAGAGCCATCCCTGCTTTGCTTCTGAGATCTGATGAGATCGGGCTAGCCTGGGCTATCTGCATCAGGGCACTAAGGTTTATAATGCCTGGTCAAACCAAAACCTTTTTAGCATCTGAGAACCAGTGTGGTTATAGTGATTAGGGTATGAACCTAGGATCTGGGAGACCCCGATTTGAATCCTCACTCTGTCATGGAAGCCTGCTGGGGGATTCTGGGCTTAGTCTCAGCCTAAACTACCTCACAGGGTAGTTGTTGTGAAGATAAAATGGAGGAAGGGAAAACAATGTTGTAAGCCGCTTCGGGTCACAGTGGTGAGACAAGCAGAGTACAAGTATCTAAATGCAGTCTCTCACTCATTGTTACGAACCACTAGCTGTTATGAACCACACGCAACATCTCCTGGCAATGGCAGGTCCCAGAGAGGCCAGGCTGGCCGCAACCAGGGCCAGGGCCTTCTCGGTGGCGGCTCCTACCTGGTGGAATGAGCTCCCGGAGGAGATCTGGGCCCTGCGGGACCTTGTACAGTTCCGCAGGGCCTGTAAGACGGAGCTCTTCCACCAGGCGTATGAGTAGGAGCCGCCACTACCATCATTATTGTCCATCTTAACCTGGCCCTGGAAGAGGGAACATCAGTGGTTCCCGGAGCGGATGATGCTGAGGAATAGAGCAATGGAAATAGAGCAGTGTAATACGCCATCTTGGGATATAACATCTAGAGCACTTTGTTTAGTAATTGGTTAACTGATTTTATCTGTATTGTAGTGATCTTAAATGATTTTAAATGTTTTATATCAGCGTATGCCCGCGTTGCGGGGAGGGCGGGGTATAAATTGAATAAAATAAATAAATAAATAAATAAAACAGTTTCATTTCCCACAATAGGATTATTTCAGGGTGGACATTCGAACACTCCAGCTAACACTCACCCAATCTACTGCATGGCTGAGTGGCTTTTGAAGACGAACCCCCCTTGAACCACAACATTGCACTGTCCTCTGTGTATATTCTCTTCTATAAATTACACATAACGATTGCATAAATTAAGCTACTTCTGGTAATTTTTCTGTGCAAAGATTTCTTGTTTAAAAAAAAAAAAAAGTGGAGAAGAAGGAAAAGATAGGAACTATTGGTGCTCCCTGAAATGCCAGTATTATGTTCAGATTAAAGAAGCTTTCCTCTTTTGCACCCTCCTTTCCCATTGACTCTATTCTCATTTTTCAAACAATGCTGTTGACTTACAGTAGTTCTCCAAAAAGACTGGCTTTTCCTGATTCCTGGCAACGTTTTATTTCATTTTCACTATACCAGATAAGAGCTATGTAAAGTGGGAGGGATAGGTGGAAACAAAATCTTGAATTTCTGAACAATAGAAATTTATTTGGAAATGACTGTTCTGCTGCCTACTGTTACTTTCTGCACAGGGCCTGGGAAGGGAAGTGGATAGTGAGGGAGAGAGATAATCTCACTGACAGGGATGTGTTCCAACTAGAGGAATCAGCAGGGGCTCCTACTGAAGAGATTCATTCCCGTCGATATTCTGTGTAGAGCATATCCACTTTCCTTCAAATAGTGAACTGTACACACTGACTTGGGGGAAAGCATCCTTGATTATATAACCAATGGGATCCAGGTTACTAACTATTCCATTCTGGGGGCTGCACATTCCAACATGCACGGATATTTGTGTTGTGTTGCGTTGTGTTTGTTTGCTCTGAAGGCAGAAGCTACAGAGTGCACAAGTTTGCTTGTACTCCTGGAAGGCAGGCAGCTGACTACAGACTCGGGGCCAGCAGACTTTAGAGGCAGGGGCTCAAGGAAGGATCTTTGAAAGACCATCTCTTCCGGTTTTGACATATGTGACCACCTCTCAGCATTTCCTTCCAACACTGCCATCTCTCAGGGTGGTGAGACTGGCCTCAGCTTGTTTGCAGGTTCCCTCCATAGCAGCCCATGTTCTCTCAAACAGCCTTCCAGAGGAGTGCAGATGATTGCTTTCATTGCTGGCCTTTCCCTGCTGGCTACCAGCACGGGGGTGGGGGTGGGGAGGGTTCCCAGATCCAGGTTAGGAAACTCATAAAGATTTGGGTATGGAGCCTGGGGAGGACAGGGACCTCAGTGGGGCACAATGCCACAGAGTCTACCCTGCAGAGCATCCATTTTCTTTGGGGGAACTGACCTCTGTAGATTGGAGATGAGCTGTAATTCCAGGGGTTCTCCAGGTCCCACCTGGAGGCTGGCATCCCTGCCTGGGAGTAAGCCCCATTTTATCTAAAGTCACCCACTTTAGAATCTAAGCAGGCCTTCAGTAGCTAGAAGCAGGCCTTCAGTGGCCTCTTCTGCGGTAGGATGTTTTGCTTATCTTGTTTGTTCTTCAACTGTTTTGAATGTTACGTTTTTTTATTATTGCTCATATAACTGGTATGGTGTATGTTTGCCTGAGCCATTCCATGTCCCTGCCCTGCTATATGCAAAGAATCTAACAGAGATAGCAGCTTTTAGAACTGAACAGGAGCCCAGCACTGAAATGGATTGGAGCCCCTCAGTTATTAGAATAAAATCAGTAAATCCCATGAGCGTAAACAAGGGGATGAGATTGAAGTGAAGTGTGTCTGGAAAGTAAGAAGCTGGGCTTATCTGTTCAGGCCCTGATATGCATCTCGAGTGTTCACATGGGAGCTGTAGTGCTCATAGGGTGCAATCCTAAACCGGTCTACTCAGAAGCAAGTCCCATTTTATTCAATGGGGCGTGCCCTGGAAAGTGTCCATAGGATTGCAGCTGTACAGAGGCAGGTGGTAGAGGCCTAAAGCTCAGAATCCCATTCTGCCCTAAAGCTTGCTGGGTACAGTTTCCAACTCTAGGTTGGGAAATTCCGGGATATTTGGGGGAGGGCAGGATTGGGGATGGGGTGGGGAGTCCACTCTCCAAAGCAGCCACTTTCTGCAGGGGAACTGATTTCTCTCATCTGGAGGTCAGTTGTATTTCTGTGAGGATCTCCAGGCCCCACCTGGAGGCTGGCAACCAAACTGCTGGTTGACCTTGGGCAGTCACTCTTCCTTAGCTCATCTACCTCACAGGATTGCTGTGAGGATAAAAAATGAGGAACAGAGAACCTTTTGTGCTACTTGAAGGAAAATGTACTAGATGAATTTTGGAGCTCTGTGTGACTTGGGGTTTCCACATTCAGTTCAGTACCATTGACAACTCAGTGCACACAGCCATGTGTATAATGTAGAACTGTCTCTGGCAGAGAAGAAAATGGGGAAGCCCCTGCAAGTATGCTGCCCACTGGTAGGCACATCAAACCCCAGTGCAGTTTTGGATAAGGAAACTGTATTTTAGACAAGATATTGTACACCAGCTTATCGTCTTTCCTTCCTGTAGTCTGGCAACTCTGTTCAAAAGTAATTTTTTGGTTACAAAAAATAAGGGATATTTTCCCCAGGATTTTTTATGAATGAATTATGTCTTCCTTATCCAAATAGTGGATCTGCACTGCAAATTTCTCTGCCTCTTTCAGTTTTAGACAGTTCCATACATGTGACCATTCTTTTAATAGTATTAAGTGCCTAGCTACTTTGGAGTGTATGCGATTGTGATTTGTCACTGCACAGTATAATGGGTTGTGTGGTCATAAGCTCCATGAAAAAATTAGTCGTTCCCAAATGTGTACTTAACTTATGGAAATGAAGATGTTTGGGGCAAAGAAGCCATAAAATATTGTAAAAGTGTAGGCTGTTGTAAAAGATTTGAAATATTACACAGAAAGTG